TGGGTGACGAATTACGTTAGCAATCTTGGATTTTTGACATGTTTATCCTGGATCGTATCGATCGAGAACTCCACTCTCTCAAATTTTTAGACCTTAAATTTGGCTTATAGAGTTCAGAATTTTTCAGACTTTTTCGGCAAATCCTTCTTGATGTTCTCTTGTGTGTTCAGGTTTTCTAAAGCGTCTTATTGTGCCTTGACATCTTCATTCACGGCATTTTAAAACTTCATCGCCATCTTGACATTGAGACGTACGGAAGGTTGCCATGGCAATTTTGTAATTTCACAAGTGAAATTACAAATTAACGCTGAAATTTCGCGCCAAAATTAAGGAGTAATTCGTCACCTATGATATTATAGTGGTAATTCTGTACCTACTTTGTTCTGTGATGCGGGAACGCCGCTTCACCGAGGGAACCACAGGTGACCCTGGCTCTGTGATAGTACCACAGTACGGTTCCACTAAAATTACAGTGTTTTTATGGGGTAAAAATGCCATGATGTATCGGTCCCCAGAAAGGTACATGGCATCTCGTGTGTCCTACCTTGTATATTATTATTGTATATAGAGTGAATTTGAACAAATTACTGCAAATTATCACGAAACTTCGTTGGAGCAATACGGACAACAACAATTAACTGCAGAGTAAGTTTCATTAATCTTTATTTAGTATTTCCTAGAAATTTTAGGATGGTATTTTTACCCCATACAAACACAGTAATTTTACTGGAACCGTAGTACTGTGGAACTATCACAGAGCCTGGGTCACCTGTGGTTCGCGTAGGTCAACAACACCGAAGAACCGAAACACTGAACCACAAAAGCGTATAAAATGGCGACAATTTAAGTCCAAATTATACTAACATAATTCACAGTGAGGTGAGTGAAGTTTTGTTTCCACATTCATGATATAGATGTAGAGATATTACTTCGTATTAGTAGTGAATGTCCCAATCGCGATGCATAAGATATGCATATCATGGAGTCATTCGTGCATTTGCGCCGGTAATGTAATTTTAGATCTGCCAAACTTTGCCTAAAATTTTTCATGTGTAGCCTTTTTATTATAATTTCGAGTGCAAAGAGGTCCTAAATCTAATTTGTAGTGAAATCAGGCCGATAAGCTCAAAAATAAAAGAATTTGGAAAGAAAGTCGAAGAGTTTCCAATTCACTGCAATTCCTGGACGTATGGTTGTTCCGTTATTATAAAAGGTGGATTGAACTGTGACGGCTAGTATTAATTTTTTCAAAATATTCTCGGTTTTGACGCGGTGGCTTCGAAACTCTGGGCACAACTGACGGCTCTTGTTCAGCAATAATATCAGTACAGAAGTTCATTGCGCAGGACGAAAGCTCGATGATGTTTCATCCACATGTGGACCAAAGAGCCATTTTGTCGTTGAACAATATTCTAAGCAAAACATACTTCTACGATACTAGGTTACATCATCAACCTCCGGCGTCGATTTTTTTTCATTTGAGTGTCATTTTGAATTTCTGTGACATTTATTTAGGCGTGCACGGAGCATATGATAAGACGATGCGTTCCCTTGGGCTAACAGCTAATGACAACGCTAAAGACTTTTCAACCATTCCTGAGTTTTCAAGTTTTTGTTAAAACACAAAGTTTGATTATCATGCATTTTATCCCAAGTGGCAATATGAACCCAAGCCCTGCAAAGATAACCTCACGNTAAGACGATGCGTTCCCTTGGGCTAACAGCTAATGACAACGCTAAAGACTTTTCAACCATTCCTGAGTTTTCAAGTTTTTGTTAAAACACAAAGTTTGATTATCATGCATTTTATCCCAAGTGGCAATATGAACCCAAGCCCTGCAAAGATAACCTCACGTGGGACTTGAAGGACAAAATGTGCTTGAGAAGGAAGCCGCCGGTCAAGGAATGTAGTTTGGATATGAATTTCTAATTAAAAATTTAAAAAAAAACGATTGAGGGCCGTGTTGGTGGTCAAGAAAAAAAACATTTCTCTCCTCTGCGAAATAAACTCAATTTTTATTTCATTCCAAGCAAGTAAATCCGAACTTCAGATATACGTTCGAGCTCCCTTTTATCTCTCCCACATAGGCCGCCGATGTATGTCGCAGGTGTATCTGCGGCATATGAGAACCAGGCTTAACTACGAGAAAATGACTGGGCAACCAACAATTTGACTAACAATGAACGGCTGCTTAACTGTGACAATAGACGGATCGAAACGCACTAATGACATTGTTCTCTAAACACTCTGCAGTGAAACGAGAATAAATTATTTTCACTCTAATGTATAACAAGGAAAACAAAATCAGGAATAGTCATCTCGTTTATTAGATAGTAACACCTACAGCAAAGCGGGTGGCATAACTAACAGTGTAATTTGAATAACTTAAAATCTCGCACCCAAACCACGTAAGGGCATTAAATGACTCGCCAAGCACTCAAAGCTCTGGATCATCAAAGTGATGGCTAAGTTCTGATAAAGTTCTGGAACCTAGGAAAAAGAGAAAGAATATTAAAAGGCACGGAACGTAAAACGAACTTTTAATTTATCTAGTTAGTTCTGGCATAGTTAGTAGAGGGGACTGGTTATGAAAGTCGGCAATCTTCAAAGCGCGAAACAATAGAACCGTCTCTGATGTTGAACGTACCTTACACGTGATCGCGAAGGTGCACAAACCCAAACACACTTTCAAATAATGGCGGATGGAGGAGACGACTTATTCTTATACTTATGATTCTAGAGCTCCCAAAAAACACGGATAACACAGACAAACGTTAAGAAGGTGATAAACTAACAATTCGAGTACGTCCCAGTGGAAATACATTTACCAGTACATCTGCAATTTCAAAACTAGTCCCTGTGGACTCATAAAGTTTCAACAGGCATAAACATCAATCATAGAGATCTTTTACGTAACTCCAACTAGAGCCACTACAGTGCAAAAGTCCACTTAATATGTAAAGTACGCGGGGTGTTTTTCCATGGGTAACTTTTCTTTTATTTTCTGCAGGCACGAATAGAACCATCAAATAAAAGAAGAATTGTGTGACAAAAGGCATTTTATTTTCAGCGTTTCCGATAACAAATACTATCAACTGAAAAAAATGAACAAAAAGTGTAAAAACGGGACGCCGTAATTTAGGGCACATTTATGCCCAAATTGTGCAGCGAAGACAGAGAAGAGTCACTCGGCTCCTGGTGTTGTTTATTTTATTATTTTTTTCAGAATTCTGTTTTATGCGTTCCGTTTTTAAACCCGTCGACTTAAACGTCTCAGACGTATAGGTCTAGACGATTTTAACATCTCTAATATAAAAACGGCCATTAACTCAAATACTTAACTCTTGGGTAGGTTTTCGTTGGCACCACAGGCAGCCCAGAAGTAGTGTGTGTCAATAACATGGACAAAATCGGATTGACCGGAGCTAGACTAAGAGTCGACGATATTCTACTGAAGAGGAATTAAAAAATATGTAATATTTCAAAAAAATATATCTGTGCCATTATCTCTTTGTGTATTGACCTGTTCTGATTTATTTTCCCCTCGAAATTTCTCAGTTTCTTATGAAATCAGACACTCTTAATTACGAGCCGCCGCATTTAAAAACACGTGTATCGAAGAAACTCGCGAAGCTCGAAGGGAAGTAGGGGGGAGGCCCATGAAATGTCAGGGATGGAAGGTGGGAGAGAATCGGAGTAAATTGTGTAGCTTGGGAGAGCGGGTTTCAAAACTGGCTCTAATATTGGAATGTGAGATGTACTTGATCTCCTTTTGGTTGGAGTAAATATGAACCCAGTGCTCTGTCGTTAAAAAGAATGTACTAGGAGTTAAATGGGGTTGGTGTTGTTACGGAAGGGTAGCCAATGTTTCATAGGTCCCGTGTTTACCCCATTTGACCCTCCTACATGTGTAATAAATAGTCAAAAGAAAATGGGTGTCATAGTGAATAACTGCACGAAAGAGAGGTGAATATGCAGCTAACCCATGCCATCTTTAATAACAAGGGTATACTAATAATAATGACGTGTTAAGTGCGTCATTAGTTCTGTAGTGAAAATAACAAGTAAATGCTGGTAATTGACCAAAAATATTTATTATGCCTTCTGATGCTACTTAAGATTTATTTGAGTTATTTAGAACTCTTTTTTTAAACAGCTTATCACCGCTATGAAAAATATAAGGTTTGAGATATCTTTTACTTTTTATTTGAATTCAAACATACAGAATTGTTTACTTCTCGCGGAGGTTATTTACTAAAAACCAGACTGTAGGATTTTCAGTAGCAGGTCTAGATCGCGAGAAATTCGGATTAAATCGATTTTAAAGTTTTTTTTATTGTTGTCATAGTGATATCGATTTTACTAAAAACTGCATTTTGACAAACCTCAATTCATAGTCAATCACTGGTGAAAATCTTGTGGCGATCAGACAAGGATAAAATCACTTTTAAAGCGATTGAAAAACATCGGTATGTTCTTCGAGAAACTGTATCGAAACACCTTAATACACAAAGACTAGTGGAAAAGATACTTTTATTTGAAACATTACTTTTTTAAAAATTCTACTTCAGAAGAATATTGTCGACTCTATGTCTAGCTCCGATGGATCCGATTTTGTCCATGTTGTTGACACTCTTAGGCTACGTCTAGGCTGCCTGTGTTGGTACTAGCACACCAGCAAATGCTACAGGGATGCAGGAGAGGTGTGTTTGTACAACAGTGAAAAATACATTGTAAAATACAAGACCTAAAATTAAATATTAAAGGAAAATAAACCTGGAGCTTTTTTATTGCCAGGGCTTACACACATAAACAATTATAATAATAACCCAGGGCATTTGACCGACGGTCTGGACGCTTGGTTACACTGATCGGATAAGTAAATATGTTGCGCGATATTGCTTTGTTTTTCAGGGGTTTTTTGTTCCATCCAGTGTTAATGCGACTGCGCTCTACAAGATCGCCCGTGTTTCTGATCTCAACAACCCAATGACTGCCAATGGTCTATAACAAGAGACGAGTCGTAATTGTTGCCCTTATCTTCGCTTCAGCTTGGTCATGGATGGCTTTTGTTTACTTCACTATCACTTTCCATAATCAGGAACGCCCGTCAGAGCTACAAAATGCGCCTATCTGGGCAAATACTACTCCTATAGTCCTTATGGCCCCAGTAAAAAATCAAACAGAAATCAACGACACAGACGACTCAGATATAAACGAAACTTTCCATCAACTGATTGATTTTAAAGACTTGGGAAGAAATAAGAGAGCAGTATTGCTATTGATCATCGTTACCACTGCACCAGCAAGATTTGAAAGAAGACAGGCAATAAGAGAAACATGGTGGAAACATTGTTCTGGCAATCAGGCTCAGGTAAGCAGGCAAGATAGGTTCTTTGTCGCCAGTTATCTCACGATCCCACGATGACGTTACTTTCAGTTATTCATAGCGAAATTTCTTACCAACGACGAAGACGACGGCAATAAGCAAAAATCAACGGGTTTAGGTTAGCAAAACAACAACTTTGCACGAGCAACACGCTTTGTTTTTTGTACTTTCTTTATTGTCGTTCAACGACCTCGACGTCGAATTCCTTATTTCCCGTCTTACACCGAGGACGTGAACAAAAGACACCTACACTGAACGTGGATACAGTCCTTTTGGAATAAACCCTATTCAAGAGCAATTCGCCAAAATTTGACAATTAAGGTGGCTCGATACAGTTTTTCAGGGTCAGTACCTCCCAAGTTTGACCTTAAACTACGTCGCCATAAACAAAGATTTGGAAACAATGCCACCACAGTTGTATTAGATAAAGATGAAAATTCGTTATGATCAGGGTTGCAACGACAACGGAGTTGTCATAGCAACGAAATGACGCTATTACCTATTTTAGTTGCAGCAATATATCTCGGCACTGGGAAATGTTCTTCCAAAATCATTCACAGTAGCTTTTTCCTCCAATATCGGCTTCGATGTTTGTCAAGTTTAAGCGAAATCTGTAAGAGCGTTATCGAGATATTATGGGATGAAGTCTTTATGGCTAGAAACACAGTTAAAAATGGACAACCTTGATGTTTGGCCGTTATCTGAACAAAACAACGCGCTTTTGACATGCAATTTCACCTCATAGTAGTTTCAATGTTTTTAAAAACGTGTGTGAAAGATCATGGAGATAGCTCCAGTCGATTGCTAGAAAGAAGGATTTGATTACTAGGTATCGAAACGCTCTTGTCAGCGGTTTTGTAAACATTTTGGTCTTCTTTAACAAATTAGCGAATAATTTTCAAACCGCTCAATAGATTTTTTTTGAAAATTAAGATTCTTGAGATTAACCTTCCTTTTATATGACCTTTTACTTTCAAGATTATTGATATAACTGGTGCCCACACACAAAGAAAAAAAAAGAAACGCCTGCATTTTTAGAGTCTAGCCGTGCTAAAGCAAGCTCTGCTAAAAAGCTCCTCAATGAATCATTGGCGAAGGTGTCTTGGTTATAAATAGAGAAAACAGAATTTAAAGTCGTGAATCTGCTTTTCCAGAAAACGTTTAGTTTCATCATTTTATCATTTTTACCTCACCAATGTATGGAATGTGTGAAAAGAATACTATTGACTGACAACATACAGAGCTGGGGCAGCTGTAGTGTCAACTATTACCAGTAATACATGTACCCTAGAGAACTGTTTCTTTCAAATTTCGTCTTATTCTCGTGCATATCTACCAATAATTTATGAAAAGACAAAGGTTTAAGTTCCCCTGAGACAGTCTATTGGGAAAACAAAACACACAAGCGAAAGCGGTCTATTAACGGGCCCGAAAAGCTGTTGTCAGTTACATTAAAGCTCGAAGTTTCCGTAGGTTTACAGATGATATGATAAAACTATCACTATATATTCTGAATATTCTATTTCGGGCCCGTCAAGTTACCGGGACTTTGAAGAAACGGGCCCCAGGAGCACAGTTCCTTGGAGTCTCGGCTCGGTCAATCCTAGGCCGGGTTGTTCAAAGCAGGGTTAAGATAACCCGGGGTTAGTGCGAAGTATAAATTCAGATATGAAAGCTTAAAAATCAAATTAGTTTAATTCTTTTTGCCTGTAATGTAATGAATTGATGCTCTATAAAGAATAGTGAAAATTATCCGGGAAAATGCTTTTGAACAAAAGAACCAGAAACCCAGAATAAACCTTAATCCTGAGTTAGGACTAATCGGCTTTCGAACAAGTGGGCCCTGGACTCTAACGTGAGCTGTGACGTCACCGAGAGAGACTCGCTCGCTCTTTCCCAGACTTCGCGCGGACAACGGGCAAGATAGAACGCCTAGGGACCAGGCTAGGGTCCCAGGGCTTTTCTCTTGGATTCTGGAAGGGTCCTATCCCAGATTTACACGAGAAAGGTCCTGAAGATGGCTCACACGACACCCGGAACATTAGAGCAGTTCTGACCTCGTGTGTGTAACTTGAATTTTTCTTTCTTCAGGTTGAATGTGTCTTCATGACTGATGGACTTATAACAGACGGAATTCAACGTAACCTTATTTTAAACGAAAAGGATAAATACAAGGATATTAAGCTCCAGCCTCTTAAAGGAGGCCGTGGGCAGTTTGGATTCCGCTTCCTTAACCAAATCAAATGGGCAGCGGCGAAATTTAACTTCCAGTACCTACTTAGAATCGATGATGACTACTTCTTGTGTTCAAAAAGGCTTCTTTCTGAGCTTCCATTGAGACCAAAACAAAATCTAGTCTGGGGATTTTTCCACTGTCAAGTAGGAATCACATGGCTGGATGAAGCATTTATGATATTCTCCGAAGATATTATTCAGAAGTTCTTGGCGCAGAACGAAAGCTCGATGTTGTGTCATCCACATGCGGACCAACAAGTCATGTTGTGGCTGAGCAGTATTCTAAACAAAACATACTTCCACGATACCAGGTTACATCATCAGCCTCCATCGTCACATGTTCCTCGATTTAGTAACATCTCGAATGTTTGTGACTCTCATTTAGGCGCGCATGGGGCATACGGTAAGACCATGTATTATCTGGGGCTAAGAGCTAATGACAACGCTAAAGACGTTTCAGCTATTCCTGATTTTGCAAGATTTTGTGAAACCACAAATTTTGATTACCGCGTATTTAATCCTAAGTGGAAATATGAACCCAAGCCCTGCAAAGATAACCCAACGTGGAACTTGGGAGATGAAATGTGGTTTGGTAAGGAAGTTGGTCAAGGAATGTAATCTGGAAATTAATTTTTTAAAAAATATAAACGATAGAGGGCCGTGCTTTACAGGATGTCAAAAAATGGAATTTCTTCGTCCTGTTTAAATTCAATGGTAAATTTGATACTGTTGTGACTATTTAAATGCTGCAAGAACCCTGGGCACAGTGACGTTAAACAGTATGTGAAAGTACCATCAAGACGCCGAAATCAAACTTAAGGAGAAGGACAAACTTTGCCGTTCATGGCCCCTCTGGTTCTTTTAAATCTAACAAACGATTTACCGACAGGTATTCAGCCAGTATTTCGAACAAAGTTTGATAGAAGTTATGCTTATTTTTCGCATGTTTTTATAGTTGTAGTTCGCTGTGTATTCCAAAAGTTTCCAGCCTTTAAAAGCTAATTTACTCCTTATCCCGTTTTAATTGGGGGAATAGTCATTTCCCATGTTAAAGGTGAATCCTTTTTCACATAATTTTTTGACTTATTAACATATGCTTATCGTTATCTGATGAAGCTAATAAAATAACATTTAATACTTGTATTGTTTTTGTAAAAAAGATAAATTTCATTATCTTTTCAGCTATAGACCAATGAACAAAAAGGTGACATGAACTTTTCGCCAAAGTAAACTGCAGCTTAAAGGCCTAGTTTATCAGGAATCTTGTTGGAAATATACTATCGATTCGCGTGAGGAACTCATGCGCCGAATGTGCACTTTTCAGGAGGGCGCTTGAAAATTGCATAGTAGTAAAAAACTTATGCATTTCAGGCTCCGTCCACACGTATCCAGAGATTTTTTTATACCGTAATTAGTTCTTTCTGGATACTTCCATTGTGTAATCATTTTTCTACCAACATGAATATAGAATAAGAATTTCCCTTTTATCGATGATCGGACATTGATTTCCAAAAGGACTGACAGGTACTTGAGTGTACAACACAAAGTCACTTCTCGAATCGAAAGACTTGTATTTCGGATATTCCTGAAAACCCCAGTAAGAAAGAACGCATAAAAGGATTAGCACCTATTTGGCATTGACATGCATATTAGTTGAATCTAAGGTGTTGTGATGTGAAGGAGTCCAGCACGTAATATCCAAATGTACACAACAGAAGCTAACCAGAAAATTTTCTCTCCTCATCGTCATCCTCGTAGCTTGCAAGGAAATGCTTTGTATTATTGCCATATCGTGAAAGACATTATAAGAAAATAGTGGCCGTTTTTACGCTAGTATAACTAGCAGTAGCCGTTGGCTAGGAAGTGCGGGAAGAAACCGCTTTCATATGAATGCGCACGCCCTTTACATATAGTGTCAACAAAAGGAATCACATGCGGATTATGAAAACTGGATTGAACAACACGGTAAGCCAGACTCATATTTAATTCAACGATTTTATTCTCAGTTGCTCAGATACAATTACCCTGCGAATGGTAAGGAGAGAGGAGTGACATTTGGATACATTGAAACAGTAATGCATGACACACGTAATGCGTGTATACAGTCATGCACGAAGTCTTACTGTTCAATCGAGTATTCAATCTGTGTTAAATAGCCAAAGGTCATTGATATTAAATAGTAAAATTACCTTGAGAGTTTAAAGCTTATTGAAGGTTTCGGATGACAAGCGACGTAACATGCTTGGAAATGTATAAAAATATAAAATCATGCAATGTAGGGAAACCTGAATAAACTTGATTTACATCGATTTTTGGATTTTGCTAGAACTCGTATCTTGAATGAATGAAGAACGAAGCTGGAAGGGAACTAGACGTTCTTTGTAGACTAAAGAATATATTATCGTTTCGGACCAAACTCTGCCTTTATAATTCGTTCATAATGTCTCATTTTCATTACTCTTAATATTTACGTTTGCTTACGAATAGAATGTAATTATAATGATTGTTGCATCACCTGCGTGTGCATTTACGTGATCACCGTGACATCAGATGGACCTTAAACTCAACACCAGGGCCTTCGCGGCCACATACTATGCTTATTAGTGGGTACAACGCGGGCATTTCAATAATGTGGACAGATTTGGGAAAAATCTCGCTATACAGTTAATAGAGTGCTGCTTACTAAGAATAGGCTGCGGGCTTCTTTAGTCGCCCTCAAAACAGTTTTAAAATTCGTCTGTTTTAGTCTATTTAAAAAAAATAGACTAAGACAGACGAATTTGAATGCCCTCAGGACGTCTTACATTAACGTCTTTTGTTAAGTACGTCGTTAGACGTTAAATGCGTCTAGTATAAAAACGGGACGCCGTATTCTAAGGCACACTTATGCCCAAATTGTGCAGAGAAGACAGAAAATAGTCAATCGGCTCCTGGTGTTGTTGTTGTTTTTTTTTTTCAGAATTCTGTTTTATGCGTTCCGTTTTTACACCCGTCGAGTTAAACGTCTCAGACGTATAGGTCTAGACGATTTTAACATCTCTAGTATAAAAACGGCCATTAAATCAAATACTTACCTCTTGGGTAGGTCTTCGTTGGCACCACAGGCAGCCCAGAAGTAGTGTGTGTCAATAACATGGACAAAATCGGATTGACCGGAACTTGACTAAGAGTCGACGATATTCTGCTGAAGAGGAATTAGCAAATATGTAATATTTCAAAAAATATATATCTGTACATTATCTCTTTCGGACCTGTTCTGGTTTATTTTTCTCTAGAAATTTCTCTTTCTTATCGAATCTGACACTCTTACGAGCCGCCACATTTAAAAACCCTATACTAGAAATCCGAGTATCGCAGAAACTCGCGAAGCTCAAAGGGAAGGGGGGGAGGCCCATAAAATGTCAAGGACGGAAGGGGAGAGAGAATCGGAGTAAATTGTGTAGCTTGGGAGGGCGGGTTTCAACACTGGCTCTAATATTGGAATGTGAGATGTACTTGATCTCCTTTTGATTGGAGTAAATTTGAACCCAGTGCTCTGTCGTTAAAAACGATTTACTAGGATTTAAGATATGTCCAGGATCGATCTTGTTAGAAAAATTTGCTAGTAAATTTTTTTCGCAATTGTCGCAAAAGAAATAATTGAAAAAAAATTATGTCACAAAATCACTTACAAATATGGCAAATATCGCAAAAATAACAAATCTAACAAGAATCAAGACTTAGAAAAAAAAAAGAAGCCAAGAAGGGCCCCGAAATGTCCTCAAATATCGCAAAAATCGCAAAAGTAACAGGGGCCCTTCTTGGCTTCTTAGCTTTCTAGTCTTGAATGTTGTTGAATTTGTTAGTTGTGTTTTTGCGATATTTGTCATGGGTGTTTTTAAGTAGCATGAAAAATCCTTGTTAGTATCTGTGGCAATGTAATTTTCAGTTTTGGGGTTTTTAGTAGCTTCAAACGTCCACAAAGGGTATTTCTTAAATCAGAGGCTGTAAGTGAAGCAATCATGTTATGACACTTTGTATTTGTATGGCCTAGGTCTTTTGGTCTCTTTTCTCGGTGGTTTTGTTATAACTGTTCATTATTCATGAGTAATAGAACGAAGCACACATAAATGCACAATTGGATCAATTGTTATTTAAAATAAATGGATTGGCATACACATATAAATAACATTCATTGGGGTGGTTGTTGTTTAACTATAAGCCTGCCTTGATTTTAAAGGGAAGGATTACCAAATCACTGGCGATCCCTATTTAAAAAACTTTGGGTATTGCACAGCAACATTCATGTATGATGCCCGTTTTCTTTCCTCCGATGTTCTATTCTTGATATTTTGGAACGATTGTTATGGTAGGTTCTTGGCCATGAAAAGTTCTGCTTCCACCCCCTTTTATTGCTTAAAATTTGCCCCCTTCTATGGGCGACACTCCTTTTTATGCATTGTAGCTGTATGTTGATGGAAGAACGAAGCATACACTGATTGACATTACAGCATTTTGCTACTGTCAGTAATTATAAATAGAGTCACGTTTGTAACTGATGTAAAGGTTCTGCTACCACCCCCTTTTATTGCTTAAAATTTGCACCCCTTCTGTGAGCGACACTCCTTTTTATGCATTGTAGCTGTATGTTGATGGAAGAAAGAAGCATGGGATTGATATTGTAATTACGTAATGGTCTCGTCTCAGAATATCGGACAAGTCAACAACTCAACATGCTTTTAATAATCCGACTTACGCACTACATACATATTTCGTCCTCGTGTTCCACTACATGTCCTCCTAATTAATAGAGTATTACATCCCATAATAATCTCGCAGCAGGTAGAACGACTTCCAGTACACTACAGATATTACAGTATTTTGCTACTGTCAGTAATTATAACCAGTGTCACGTTTGTAACTGATGATTTCATTTTCGCGAAAATGGAACGCATTACAAAATTACTGGACAACAACGTATCCCAGTTAAGATAACCATTAGTATCAGGGAAAAACAGTGATGGGCGGGTGTTCTTGGCCCCTTTCTTGCCCTTCAACAATTCTTGCCTATTCTTGTTACTCTAGCCAATTGGTGGCATTTAGCCATATTTCGAGGCGCTCCTTGCCCTTTTCCCTTTCTAAGGGTAGAATTGTGTTAAATTTGTTATTCTTGCTGTTTCTCCCGTATTTGTCGCTCAATCTTTTCACATAGCATGAAAAATTATTGTTACTTTTGCGATTTCTGCAAAATTTGCGGACTTACTAAAGCCCCTCTTGACCTTTTCTCTTTCCGGGTGCAGAATGTTGGGAAATTTGTTATTCTTGCTATTTT